CCCCTTAAAAAAAAAAAAAAAAAAAAAAGGACGCTCGCCACCAGCTTTCAGTCTGAAATGGGAGCCATCTCGGACCATCCATGCTGACCGGGGATGATGGAATCTGAGATGAAGGCCAGGGCCAAGTGCTCTATGTACCAGCACTTCCATGCTCACCATGAACACTGGGGTAGTGACCTGTTTGATTGCTGTTACTACACTGGTGATAGCTATAAGTTCATATTTTGTTGGTCTTGGAAGAGGAAATGGCCTGTGTAAGGTGATAGTCACCCCAAATAAGCCGTTTTGTATCTATCCTGCTAAAATGATTTTGGTATAATTTGAGGGGGAAAAAACTTTTTTTTTTTTTTACTAGATCAGGTTAGGATCTGTTAAGCTTGTGGACCAAAGCTTAGTTGCAAAAATCTTAACACTTTCCAGGGGTGAAGTTTGATTTGCTGGCTGTATGGGCTGCCCTTCAGACCAAGACTGCTAGATGCTAAATCTTCCAGACACGCACATCAAGGATGATTAAATTAAGGATTTTAAAAAGTCATTGTCATATGGCTTTTTTGATGGTGTTCTGACTTTGCAGGTAGGCAGGGCAAGGCTGCTTTGCCTCGCATTGGGACAACAGGAATTCTTGTAGCTGATCTGAGGTTGGCTCCTACTAATAAACTACGTGCAGTTCAGATTGGGAGCTTTGTGCAGTAAAATTGGGGAACACGGATAAATTAAATAAAATGCAGAAACCTTAGAGCTGTGTGGGTCCTTCTTGGCTTTTCTTTTCTTGCCACCTTTCTTTTTCCCCTTCCTTTACACCATGCGTGTGTAGGGTATGTGGTAGATCGGGCAGGCAAAGGGGATCTGAGTGGCTCTTGGGGAAAGTGTGGGGCTTACTATGTATCAAACCTGTCAAAAAAGTTGCCCCCATTGCTTGACTGTCTGTTGCATTGCTGTAACATAGTGCTTGCTGCCTGTTTGAAAGACTTGTAAGATGCTTACCCAGCATTTTGATGGTTTGCTTGTGGTATTTTTCTCTGCTTGCTGCCTGGGGCCCCCTCAGGTTGTGCCTGCTGCTCCAGAGCTTTCTGCATATGAGTCCATAGAGCAGAGTCAAGCACAGAATTGGTAGGAAGAAATAAATGGTGGAGACCCAAGTCATTGTTTCTAAAAGGCCTGTGCGGGCCAAGTGCTCTATGTACTTGCATTCCCTGGTTTCATCGGGCAGGCTTCCATTGCGATGTTCCACACCAAACAAGAACAGAATAGGGCCGGCAGTCAGTAGTGACCAAACCCATAACCCAAGAATGACCCCTCTCACCCTGCATTTAGTGATCGTGGTTCTAGCTTTCAAAGGAAAGCATATTGCAAAATACCTTTCCACGCTTAGAGCTGTGATGTGCAATATGGTGCAGTAAGTGCAGGTTTCACTGAGGTAAAACACGAATTTGCAGAGAAAATCCCCAAATATGTATGGCCTGTATTTCCAAATCCTGTACAAATCCGAAGGCAGACCAAGGCAGATCAAAATGTCTGAGAGGGCCATGCTGGATAAGTACATGTTAACTGTAGTTCTCATGTCCCTACGCTGTTTGAAAATGAATATTGTTATCACATTCCCAGTGATACCCAAGAAAAACAAAATGATGGAAATTATAGTTACAGGTACCAGGATGTGAATGTCAAATAAAGATGATGATTGTTCTTCGTAGTAGTCCGTATCATTTACAAAATGGCTGTCATTTGCGATAGAACCCATTTCCGGTCTCAACATGAAAAGGAGAGTTGGCTTTGCATTACACTTTGATAGAAACCAGGCTCAGGATAACTATGATCCACAGTCTACGTAGTTTCCAAAGGTTGAAAAATGTGCTAGGGATTTGTCTTCATCCCTTGTATTGCTTGCTTCTAGTACAAATCCAAAATTATTTTTCATAAAAATATTAGATGAAGCTAAAAATTGACAGAGAGAAAAATTAGCGTATACACCCAACTGTTTTGGAAGAGAAAGACAGATAAACGCATTTATATGTTTACCTTGTGCTTCAGGCAGCTTGAAATTGATGTTCCTGTCTAGTAAATTCCACGCGGTTCTTGAAAGCTTAATGTATAAAGCAATTTTGTGATCTATCACGGTCAGAAAATGATGTTGATTCAAATACAGTCTGTATTAATGGATGCAGACACAAGGAGAAAAGGAAATCATTTTTATATCTTCAAAGTTTGTCAGATTTCTTAGAAATCAAAAAACCTCTTGGCAGCAAAGACAGCCTTTCTGAAGAACTTTCCAAGCAGCAGCCGGATTTGCAAGGAGTCCTTGTGCCAGACAGGGATCTGGTTGCATCATTTGCTACACGAAAAATGGCTCTCACCTGAAAGAACAAAACATATTCTTTGTGGTAGCAGATTGCTGGCCTCGTGTAGTTTCACAGTTTCTGAAGTGATCTTCTCAGGTATTTTAATCTTTCAGTACACTTCCTTTAAAGGAAGACTATTATGCAGATTTTTTTTTTGTAATTTATCTTCCACCTTTTCCATCTATTCCTCAGTTTGACGCTGTTAAATGCTTCAGTTCCTCTCTGCTTTTCTCTCTCACCTTTTGTTCAGTTAACAGGGAGGTTAGAAGAGCATTTTGATATTGGAAATTTAATTACACCACTCAGGCCAATGATGTAATTTTCCATTGTCCTGTGTTTGTTGAGGGTCTTTTTCCCTAGGTCTCTTCCAGAACATATGCCGCAGAGTGAGAAGTTTGGACTGACTGTGTTTTAATAAGGTTATCATGATAGCTGGCAGAGTGTTTGTTTGAACATCACTTTTCAAAATGAGACAGTGCACTTAGCATTTGATTTACTTTCCACTTCAGAAGAGATCAGAAATAATTATGTATTAAGTGCCTGAGGTGTGTGGCTGGTGCCATGCCAAACATCAAGAAGGGACTGTAGGCCTTGAATCGGTGAGACTTTGGAGACTGTCATATCTAACTCAGCTGGAAGACTGCAAGTGTGTTTGTTGACACAGTGGTTTCAAGTATGTTCCTGGAAATGGAGCATTTGGACAGCAAGAAGTTAAAACTCCCAGAAGCAAATAAGTATTTTCCATTCAATTTCCTCATCTTTTACTGTTTTGATTTGCATTTGTTCCAATAAGTGCGTACTATCTGCCAGTGACCGGTACTTGGGATGAGAGCTAAGAACTCAGTGTGACTGCTTCATTAGGAGGCCACGGGTTTAGGTTTGTATTAGGAGAATGTCTGTTGTGACATCAGAGATCCTTAGCTTTAGAAAATCCCACTTCCAGCACCTTCCAGCATTTTCAGGCCATCAAAAACCTGGCCTCAGACTTTTTTGCTTAATTGACAATACTGAAGTTAATCAGTTTTAAGAACATTAGTCTTATTCCTGAAGGAAGTCTTATTTATCTCACCTTACTGAGCAAGTGACAGATTATATGCCAAGCAGTTAATTTTGACTGCTGAATGAAGTGTGCTTGGTAACCAGTGTGCTTACAGATGGGCTGTTTTTCTTGCTTTTGCTGTACAGATCCCCACCAGCTGCAAGCCAGTTGCCTCTGGTGAATGTCCCCAGTTCAACGATGCCAGAATTAACAGTAACCCATTCAGCCCCTCTCTGCGTAACAGTGACCCTGTTTCCTGCTTTTTAATTACGAAAGAAACCTCAATGTCTAGAATAACACATCCTATGAATGCTCTTTTATTCTTCCAATACTTATGGTCCCACTGAGTTGGCTAAAAGCATTCATTTACAGAACTACCAGGAGGCCTGGTAGTTCAGAGTGGTGGTAGTAGCTGCAAAGCCTTTCAGATCTAGGTAGTCCATTTTAACACAGATCAGGCATTAGGAATCGGAAATTGCCAGACAATGGGTGTTTTATTGCTTGTGCAAAAAAGCATTTGGGGTCTTAGACTGTTTTCTGTTGGACTGATATCTACATTGTGAAAAAATATTCCCAAACTCCACTTCCTTCTTGTTCCTCTTCAGAGAGAGGAAGAGGTCTCATGGACAATCAACGTACTGTTCAGCCTTAACAGTAATCCCTTTGCCAGCACTGGTGGGGAACCGCACACACCTGCTAATCTCTTGTCCCTTATATTAGGACAAGATTCGCTCTGTTCCTAGTATCTGTCAGCCCCATGACTCTTCCTCATGTCAGGGATAAATGACCACAACAGCAAAGGCTCTCGCTGTCCCTGATTTTGATCTGAACCTGCTGTCTGATACTGCATATAAACTTGATTTGGTTTTTGGTGAAATAGCCTCCCCCCTTTTCCTGAGAGAAAAATGTGTTTTTAGTCCAGTATCTAGGATTCATCCTTCATCCCCCTCATAGCAGGATGTTTTTGTGTAATATGCTATGACTCATGAAAGCCAAATGACTTGGACTCTGTCAGTATGGTGCATCACGCCAAAAAGTCTCAGCAGATGCATTCTCTGCTGTTTGCAGATCCAAAACTAATGCTGGCATGTGCTGGGTACAAGGCCAGCCTTAGCACTCCCTTGCGCTCCTGCACATTTTCACCTGTAAACTTAAAGGTGACTGGTAGCTCCCAGCTGCAGCACTTCTCCCCTGATATCCACACAGAAATGGGGGGGATCAAGCAAGGGATGACACCAGAGAAAAAGCGGAGCTTTGCCCTGATTCATCCGGAGCAGCTGTCTCTCCACTTGGAGCTCCAGTGAAGAGGCAAGGGTGTGAGGCCACGAAAGTGATGGGAGGGAAGGAGCTGCAGTGGTCGTATTGCCGCCTGCTGGCAGAAGAGAAATCTGCATTTGAATTATGAATTAAAGAGGGATGGCCTCAGTCTGACCTGTGTGCTCAGTGTCCTGACTGTAATAAATAGCCAGAACTGTAAACTCATGAGAACACAAACATCCAGAGCTGACAAGCAGCTGTTTGGACAGGGTCCAGACCCCTTCACAAACATTCCTGCTCCTGTTTAGCTATATGCTGTCTGATGTCCAGATGGGCAACAGAACAGCTGGCTGGTTGCTCATCATCCTGCTGTTTCCATACAGTGTAAAATCGCCCATAACTGCCACGCAGAAGAAAATTCATTTTGCACAAAAATAAATATCAGGGGTGCAAAGAAATGTTTCGATTCTTGGTGATAGCTGAAATTCCCACCTACACTGATTTCCAAAGCAGCGCACATGGCTATCTGCAATATCTTCAGTTCCCCTTCCTTTAACCCTTTTCCTCATTTCAAAATTAAGCCACCTAGCAAAGATCCCATTATTAAGCAAAGCCATCTAAGTTTGCGAGCACCAATCTGCTTTCAGCCAGTCCATGGGGTGATGTGTTGTCAACCTGCGGCACTGTGATTCATTGTGCCAGACCAGCTACTGCAGGACCAGGATCCATGGGCCTGTGAATCTTCCACTGACTTCAGAGGGAGTCCTAAATGTTTGAAGCGGGGAGGGCAGGAGAAGAATGAAGGCAATAGCAGTAAGAAGAGGTGGTGGCCTTTGCTGCTGGTGCTCAGGTCATGCGGTTTTGAACACAAAACTCTGTCCAGTAAAGGACGCTTTTAATATCTTTGAAAAAAATAAACCCTCCAGTTTAAAACCAATATTTAGCAAAACTAGCAAATGAAACGCCATGTGTTACTTTGGGAGAGAGACTGAAGGCTGACCTAGCTTGGGTGTGAGAGACCAGGGGTTCAGTTCCCTACTCTGCAGTATAAGACGTGACTGCATGTCAGTTCCTGAATGGTAAAGTGAGCATATGAGCAAGCACCTTGCAAGGCGGTATTAGGCCATCTACATTAAAGCCTGGGGCCTTATTACTGCAGTGATATGCATAAGTACCTAAGATAGGTGGTGCAGATGGGGAGTGCTCATCTACCTGGTTTCTGATAGGAAAGCATCTTAATCAAAGGACAGAAAGCAGACAACACCAAGATAAAAATCATCACTGGAAAGAGAAGGGGCTGGTCTGTAGGGAAAACTGAGGATCCACTTCAGTTGGGAAAATACATCCCAACCCCCACTTCCTGACTGGAGTCTGTTTCTGTGCTGACCAGAGTATGCTCCAGTTCCAGTTTGGTTTGGGGTCATCTACAGAAGGGTTTTGTGTGCTTGTTTACTTCAGTATGAGAGACCGCAACATCTGGATTATACATGCTGTCTCTAGGATACAGACTTTCTTCTTGGTATCAATCATACCACTCTCTGCTGGCTGCACATAATGTAATTGCCACAGGTGACTTAAGTGGAAAATGATGAGCTAATTAACTCAGACTTGGCTCATTTCTTCCTTGTTAATTTTGTTAATTCATGCAGGAGACAAGCCAGTTTACAAGTATGGGCTGGCAAATCCTGAGAGAAAGAGTCAAAGGACAGATAAGCTGCAGCGCACAGTGGCATGCACAGCTATCTGCATCTTTAACTCATTAACAGTCTGTTGATTCAAAATCCATTGGGATTGTAAAGAAAGTTTATTCACTAGGGTGCACTGTCTCTACAGATTAGTCCTTCCAGAGTATGTTGAGGATGGCTGCAGTATCCTCTACTCTCTGCACATTTCATGTATGGACTGGATTTACAAGAGATGCCTTCCAGTTGTATGTTCTGTTCCCATGTGAGCTTTGGGTTCCTGGCATATTTCCCCGTGAGGCCATTGATTGAGAATGGTTTGGAGCCCACAGTCACAAAACTCTGTAGGAAAATACAGTCAGCCCCGTTGACTGAGTGGGCAGCCAAAATGTAGACATTTGGCCAGTTGTTTCCTATACAAGGAAAATCATGTTGGATTACAGTTTCATAGTTTCTAGGGTCGGAAGGACCTGAGCAGATCATCGAGTCCGACCCCCTGCCATGGGATTTTTTTTTCTTCTTATGCAACCCTGTTTATTTACAAATTTTCCACCCCAAGGCACATTTTGCCGAATGCAGGTGGAACTGGGCAGC